GCTTCCTATTTAATAAAACTTAGATTTCGAACTTTTCTACTAAAAATAGTCTTATTATTTATATAAACTTTTTTGTAGCTATTGAGGTCTGCTATCAATCCTATTTCTTTCTTCATACGGGAATCCTTGTACTATAATTTTTTTAATAATTATTTTTCTTAATATTATCATAATAACATTTTTTCAAGTATAGAAAAATTAAAACTATATGTATTATGCATTTTGATATTCATTACGAATAATATATATATATATATATATATATATATATATATATATATATATATATTTAATTAAACAATTATTCCTTGATTTTTACCAAAGTCTATTAACCCATGCAGGCTTTCCTGACTACGGAATGACTTACTTAAACCTACATTTCATGTGATATAATTTCCGTTGTTATTATTTTTTAAAAGAATTTTCAAAGGAATTTTTATTTTATCAGAGCATTATACTGATCTTTGGATTATCTATCTGTCTATATAATCCTCCATGAAGATTTTTCTCCCAAAATTGCTTATACTTTTCTTGAATAAATCTGACATAACACCATTAATTCAATCAATAATTAATAATTTATTACCCAGACGTAATACAATCATTACCTCAGAGGTACCCATTATCCCCAAGGTCGATGGATCATGAACCTTCCACCACTCCTCCCAACATATTTTATTGCTATCCTCATCTTAAAAACTGTGCAAATAAAAGTTTAATTAAAAAAATTTGTAGATTATATACAATTACACATACTGCGGTATTTTCCATGCTTCCATTTGTCGTTTGGTTTGAAACTTTTCATTTCGAAAATTCATATCCTCGTCGAAATGTGCCCATCCAAAAAAACATTTATGGCGTAACTTGCTTAATCCCTTAATTACGTGAATGTCATGGAATAAAAATTTTAGTGGTCTCTGAATGCCAATAATTATTAAAATTATGATTTAGTATATTTTTAAGTCATTAGGTTATGAATTTACTTAATTTAATTAATTTTTTTAAAGAGAAATATTCATAGTTAAAATCATATTGACATACTTCTTATCGTACATCGTACACCGGTATAGCCAAAAAGACCCATTTACAAAAGCTTTAATACCTTCCAATCAAACAAATTTTTTTAAACAAATTTTATTGAATAATATAATATAATCCGTCACATTGAAGGGTATTATGTATTGAACACAATATTAAAGTACAAAACAATACAAACGATAAATAAGAATAATAAAAATATAACTGTAAAAGTAAAATAATAAATGAAGGAGATTTTTTCGCATTACCCAAACAGGTCAGCAAATTTCCCCGATACCTACCCTTACCCTAATTTTCCAGTTCTAAGTGAAACTCCTAGCTGAACACACCTATAAGTCTCTATTTTTATTCTTCTAATTTTATTTACTTATTTATTTATTTTTGTTTTTCTTTTATTTCCCCATCTTTCTTTGTGTCTTCTATTTCATATTATACCCTTTTTCCTTTTCTTTCAATCTCTCCTGTAGATCAGTAGAAGTATATTCACATTTGCATATATTATATATTACACTACAACAATTGTAACCATCTATTTACTTTAGTTTGGGATCTTGTTACTTAGCTTAGTCTGTTTATATTTTAATGAACTTACTGTTTATAATTTTAATAAGCTTATCCACATTGTTTATAATTTTTTGTCTAAATATTATATAACTTCCACAATTCTCTATATCTTTTTGTATCTTGTCCGTTCTAGCCCTGAAGAAGACCTGCAAAGTCTGGTCGAAACTTTGGCTTTTAATAAAATATTTTAGCCTATTTATGACCGCCGCCTCCTTTATAATGCAACGGTCAACTATTAAATATTTAATAATATAATAAATGAACTTCATAAATAAAAGTATTTATTGTGAAGCAATTTTTAATTACTTAAATATACTAACTAAATATTAAGTTTTCCCTTCTTATCCAACAAAAAAACGTGAGTTACATAAAAATAACGCAAAACATGAATTTCCTTCTTTTTGACATAAATTCGAAACATCGTTTGTATAAAGTTTTTTGTTGCTCTTGACGGCTGCTATCAGTCCTTTAAATATTTTCCTCTATTTTAGGGACACCCTTTATCATTCCAGAAGTTAATAAATCACACCCATACTCAGCTTCATCAAGATAATAAAAGACCGAAAAGAATACCGAAAATAGCCGGAGGATAACGTGGTGCCTCCAGAGCTGTTTACATAAAGCCGAGACCACATAGGCCTGTAGGCCGTGCGTGCTCAGCTTACCCGCCGATTGAAGGGGCTCTGAGTCATCCTCCTATAAATATGGCTGACATTGAAGTTCTCATAAAGTCAGGTTTACGATCTAGTGAGTGACTTTATTGCGAGCACTTAGCGATTTGAATGAAAGAGGTCGTCAGTCTCGAATGCAGGGTCACAGCTAAGATTGATAATAACTCTTAACTCTCAAGAGTCATTTCTTCTTTACTGCTCCAGGAACACCAGGCATACAAGTGACTGTTTATGTGCATTTAACATAGCTGCTATATACATGCTATATAACATATATTATAAAGGGTAGTAAAAAAAAATTCTATACCACGACAAGGATCTTGGATTCAGTACTTTGTAAGAAAATACGGTTGCAAGGTCGAAGGATATGTAGAGAGGTCATTGGGTCGATGTCACGCACAACAACCAGATTTCCATCGTTATTTAACTAAGAATATCTACTATATAGAGCATAAGTGTGAGCTTCTGATCCTAGGATAAGTCCACGGCTAATGTAACAGAATAAATAATTACCTGCCATATCCAGACTAGAACCCGGGACTCTGAGCATGCGAAGTCACTGTGCTAACCTGCTCCTTTATAAAGGATAATAGGATAAGAGACAGATTATTTATTATATTTTCATATTTCCATTCCGTCGGTTATTTATACAATAGTATATTTTTTTCTGTTGGCAATACAGGTAGATCTTTTGCCACCTTAACAAGCCTGCTCCATCTCTACTTGTCTTGGGCTATTTCTATCCAATTATCTGCACACAGCACTTGTTGTTTCCATCTATTTTGTTGGTCTTTTGCCTTCTATTGAGGCATTTATTGTTACGTAGAGGCTTCCAGATGGACTGCTACGAGCTACATGTCTCGCCCACCTTAACCTCTGTGCCTTCATATCATGGATATTGATTGTTCAGTTTCTGTAAGCAGGTTTTTACTGGTCTTTCTTCTCCATGTGTTAGTACTCTGATCTCAGATCGCTCTGGTTATCGTGTGAAGGATTTTCCTCTCAAATATTTCAACACTTTTTTCTAGGATGCTGGTGAGTGTCCAGGTCTCACAGCCATATATTAGAACTGGTTTTATCATAGCATTTTACACCTTAATTTGAGATTTTTCGAGATTTCAATACCTTTGAGAGAGAGAAGAAAAGAAAGCTCTGTTTGCGCTGGTCTATTTCTGTCTGGTGTTCATTCATTGAGGTTATTGTGGAGCCGAGATATTTGAATTTTTCTACTCTCGGGAATGATTTTATGTTTACGCAGATCCTGATATTGAGGTGAAATTTTCAGCTTATTATCATATCATGATCTTCAATTAATATTGTTGTTTTAGAATAAAAAAACTAAAGCGGATAGATCACGTGATAGAAGTGAAAACATCAACAAAGGTGAGATTGATAATATGAAAAGTAAATTATAAATAATAGCTCATTATAAAGAGGAGTTTCTAAGATATTTTACTGGGTATCTTCCATAAAACTCATTATCATTGGGTTTTCGACACTATCTTTTCCCTTTTCGCCACTCTAACACAGAGTTTTAGGGGCTGAGCCCTCTGAAATGGAAAAATGTATATTTTTTTTCAGTGCTCCGTATTAGTTTATGTGAGTGATATATGATAGATATATTTTCCCCCTAGACTTTAAGGCTATACGGGAGTTTTCCCTGGTCAAGGTGTAAGGGCGGGGTAAGTCTCCCTCAAATGATCTCATACATCAGGTTGCTGACCAACGAGCAAGGGAAAAGTCTATTTGAATCTGTTTAAATATATATATATATATATATATATTTATAACTCCAAAAACTAGATAAACTGTTTTATTGATACTTAGTGTTGTTCACGGAGTTTCAAAGAATATTTTGAGTTGAGACATTATATCTTTTTTACTGTTTTTATTGAATAGTTCAATTTAAAAAAAAGAAATGATTTAGCCGATGTCGCGAGTTTTCCCTTACTCGTTCCACTGTGCGGTTTCCCGTTGAGATGCAATTTTGAAAAATAGCTCAGTACAAAGAAGATGAAATGATGAAAATTTCCCTTGCTTACAATATGCAGGTCCGATTTTTAGTTTTTGAGATATTTTAATCCATATGCAAAAACACTTCAATTAGCGGATTCCGGCCGACTTTACCCGTGCATTACACATCGGAGTTCTGAAGGCTAAATTTAATTCAATCTCCGCAAAAAATGTGCAAAACGCGCTTAAAGAAGTTTTCACTTCAATAAGTACCAAATATTTCAGAATTTTATTAGTAAGATTAGAGTGATAATAAGAAAATGCTATAACCATATCCACATCTTTTCGTTCAGGAAAGATCTCTCATTAATCTACATTTTAGTCGCCTCCTAATGTTCATGCTAATCATAGTCATACCAGCAATCAGTCTGTTGCAAACAAATATCCGTTCGTAAAACTTTAGCCATATTGACAAACCTTTTTTTTTTTTTTTTCTTTTAACCAACCTCATTAGAAAAGACTATATACTATACACACGGATAACAAATGGTTAAGCTCATAACATGTTATAACAAGAAAGAATAATTTAATTATGTATACTTACGCATTAATTCCTGTTATTTGGATGACCAGGAATGTTTCTAAAAATTACCTGAAAACACCAGGAAATTCCATAGATCGTTTTCCTGGATCATGAAATCGGTCTGTGAGGCCCTAAGCCAACTGTTTTGAAGGAACTACTCAGTTATCCTCCTTACTTTAAGACTTAGGAATTCATAACGCGATCTTATAGTAAACCCTTCTATTGTATTTCGAGCACGCCTTGTCATATTTACCAGCCCATCGAGGTTTTGTGTTTGATATGGTAGGATGACAATACGTGACGAAACTAAACATTACCCAACAGAAAATTTTTATAAAAAAAATACTCTAACAATATAAGTGAAGATTGCTGCTTCAGAAACATTTAATTTTGAATTCTTCTGGTAATGTCTTTATTTTTTAAGAGAATTGCAGGTGAATGAAAAATTCCTAATGCTTACATATAAGGCCTATATATATATATATTCTAATCATTCGAAACCAATAAAATATATTGGGAAGATACAAAACTGGTGATTACAGCTGAAGGGAGGTATATTCTGAAATCAGTTCTTTTCCTCTTATTTCCCGATTAAGGGTCGGTTAAAAATTTTAACTGGTGTTTATGATTTCGTATTATAAATGTAACTTATCATCATATAAGTTGAGATACCTAGAACCCCTCTAAATATTTTAGAAATGTTTTATCATATGTTACCTTTGAATGTTTTATGATAAAACAAAAACAATCATAATCATTAAATCTTCTACAGCTCTTAACCAATTCCACTCAAATTGTACAAAGAAAATTATTATAAGCAAAATTTCAATAAATTTAATAATACATTTAATCTCCATCCCTTTAGAACTGAAGTGAAGGTTTAACTATGGGACTCTTTTTATTTAGTGGGCAAGGTCGAATAAATGCAATAATAGTTTTTATATAGTTTGGCTATTTGGACCAGGCACGTGTTGGCGTGGGCTGATACTAATGGATTTTTTTTTTTAATCTTTGATATCTATTATTCGCTGTTTCGTGTCAATTTTGCTTTAAGCATTTATATCAACTAATTCTACCATAATCATTGTTAAAAAATTAAGGAAAACAAATGAATTTGCATGTTTCCAATTATTCTTTTTTATTTATTTGATTTCGCCTCTATCCTATAGAGTCATTAGCGCTATGCTGTTTGTTTCCTCCTGTATCCTTCAGTACATATAATTTTTAAAAAATTCATAATTTTTTTTTAGTTATTTTCTAGTAGCTCTTTGATATTTCCTGATAACTTCATAGAGATTAGTGTGTTTCTGAATTTAACGCAGTTTGCCAATAAGTTGCCAGTTTCACTGTCATAACCGATCACTCTTTGTAAATGGCTGGTTCTGGTTTTTGCAGAAGATATTCATGAGACTATTTGCAATGGCCAATGCGAAGACGGCATAAAATAATATTTCCTTAAAATAAAATAAATTTTCTTTTTTCTACTATTTTGTATTCTTATATATATCTTCATGTGTAATTAAAATCCTAAAAAAAAATGCAGTACTGATTGTGTACTTTTTGAGTTATTCTCAAATAAAACTGTGAATCCATCTTTTTCTTAAAAATATTTGAGCCCATGGCGTTCCTTTAGATCTTCTATATCTTATAAATTGTTTCATTTCAACATTTCGCTATAGCAATACTCCAAATACAAATTTGTCATAACAGAGTTAAGTTTTCGTTACAACTAAAGTGACACAATAGTCTAGGTGAAACTTTTAAGCCAGTAGAGAAATCATTTTGGATTGCAAAATTGAACTAATGTCGATTTCCAGGGTTTTATATGTACTATCTCTGCCGTGAAAAATCGAGAAAAAAAGTGCCTTAAAAATATTGAGCCGTTTAGCGTGACGTACAACCCCAAATTGTCAAAATAACGAGGTCATATCGGCCAAACGGTCCAATGGTTTGTAGGCCTTATTTTATTCTCGTTTTTGTGATTAAATTATCTTACGATTCAAGTGGAAAGCAAATGGGTATTTATGAGGTTTTAGTAGCTAATTACATTGACAAAGTTTGCCGATCTCCAGATTGAAAACGCCCCTATTCGTAAATAAAATATTTGTAGGTTACGAAGAGATAAAGCTAATTACGAATTTTCAGGCGGATATTAATAATTTTATAAAAAGAGGTCTGTACCTACAGACTAGAAAGGAATTGAAATTATGTAATATTTATATGTAGCTAGAACTATTAATTTATTTTACTTCATCCTGTTCTTGGTTTTTCTGTTATATATATGATAAGTTTTATGGTATACCAACTAAAGACTTTTTAATAGCAATGAATAGGTAGCCATTTGAAATGTTCCCCTAAAAGAAAATTAGCATAAAATTAAATAATGAAATGTTGTTGTTACTACCATGATTTCGGTCTTTAACAGAGAATTAATTTTGAAGTGCTTTAACTGATATTTTGTTGAAGCAGTTAATAGGAGCTGTTGTCAATTTTGAATAGTAAATATAGTTTTAGTAAATAGTAATAGTAAATTTAAGAAATTATTTTTGGATTCAATGAGGTTGCCATCGCCATTTTTTGGGGAGGAGGGGCACATTTTAACAGGGTCATGATTTTTTTAGTAAACTACATTTATGTGGGATTAAAAATTTGAGGAACTTCCAAATCTATTTACAAGAGAAATGCATGAAACAGACCTTATCGTGTGTAATGTATGTATCGTATGTAAACGATAATGTTTATTATTTTACTTTCATTTTGAAAAATTTCAATAAAACGAGGAGGGAAATAAGATATTTCTTGGGAGGAGGGAGTGTGTGGGGGGTCATGCGCCATCAACCTTTGAGGGAATGGGCACCTCTCCTTGTAGCTTTGTATTTAATTTTAAAAATAAAAAAAAATATATTGAAAATTGAATCAAAAGGCTATTTAAAAGTTGGATTTAGTCCAATGTATGTACTAAATAATAGGACAAAAATACTGATTAAATAAAATAGCAACCTCTCCATTAGTCCGCGGTTTAAACTCCCTTTTTATGAAATTAATGACTCTCATGTAAAACGGCTTGAATGACTTTATTTTATCATAACATATAACTTTAATATCTATGAAAATTCTCCGTAATGGGGTGTTTTCAATCTAAAAATCAGTTCTAAAACTTCATGAATGGCTTCATCCTATTGTAAGCAACAAATTTTTTATTTATACGAATTTTCGGAAATGGGGCTTTTTCAATTTGGAGATCGGAAATTTAGTCTGTTTAATAAACTGCTTAAAATCCATATGCTTTCCACTTGAATCGTAAGATAATGATTTAAAAAACACGAGAAAAAAGGTGGCCTCCAAAAATGTTGGGTCGTTAGGACTGTATAGACTTGTTATTGTGACATGTCGGAGTAGAGGTCACGTCTAACGGCCCAACGTTTTTGGAGGCCACGGTTTTTCTGTTTTTTTTTTAAATCAAATTATCTCAAAAGCCCCATTTCCGAAAATTTGTATAAATAAAAAAGTTGTTGCTTACGATAGGATGAAGCCATTCACGAAGTTTTAGACGTGTATTAATAGTTTGATAAAAAGTGATGGTTCATATTCATTAATTATTTTTTTAGCTTTACCGATTTCTAGTTTAAAAACATCCTCGTGACCTCTACTCTCAACATGTCAAAACAACAAGACTATATAGGCCAAACGGCCCAATATTTTAATAGGCCGCCTTTTTTTTCGTTTTTGTGATTAAATCATCTTACGATTGAAGTGGATGATTATTTAATACTTCATTAAATTAACAATGTTTACCAATCTCTAGATTGAAGGAGTCCCATTTTTGAGAATTTTTGCAAATAAAAAAGATTAAGGCTAAAGGTTACGATAGAATAAAGCCATTCACGAAGTTTTAAATGTGTGTTAATAATTTGATATAAAGTGGTCTGTATCCTATACTACATATTTATATACGTATATAATCTATTTTTTATTTATTAATTATTTTTTCAGTATTTCAAATAAGCATTTAATTTATCCAGTAGATTTAAGGATTTTTGTGTCGAGTCTTAGACCGCAGAAGGAGATTAGTATATTTCCTCGATAGCAAAAAATACCCAAATTAAAAAAATACAGACTTTCCAATCAAAATCTCTAAGACTCATCACGCGCTCACTATGGTATGTCAGTAACAAAACATTGTATACAGACTTAAATATACCGGATGGTACAGGATCACATCCGGACATCATATAAAAAATTCCATTCCAAACCTTCACGAACATACCAACATACTTATAAAAAACATGGCTACGAGATATATGCCAGAAAACACCCGACAAAGGCTGAAAAGGAGCTGGCTAAGGGATCCATGGATTAACTTTTACTTTTATTTCAAGTTAGGAGTAGGTGCCGATGGCTACCGACCTCCCTCATGCCTGACATGCCAATTCTATCAATAAAGATCACATCCGCTTATTGTTATGGGCTTAATTAAATAAATCAAGGTTAAAAAAAAAAAAAGAATATTTCCTCTACACTTTTCACTTGAAAACAAATAATATATGAATATGTATATTTTAAAATTTAAATTGAATAAGGGTGGAATAAGTGATGAATTACAGATTAGAAGATCCTCGTTTTTATGGACCAATTTACAAATTATTAGAGCCCATCATCCAAGCTTTATTTTTTATTTTTTTACTTCGTCAACTTACCCCGATGGTTTAATGACGGCCATATTGGCAAAGATTGAGCGGGAATGGTCCAATGAGAGGCCGGTATGATAAGAGGAAGACAGCACGTGTAGGGCGATGCCATTATGGCGGACACCCCTCAGGACAGAATGACCTTGCGGGGACCCGACCATCCACGTGCCACCCCTCGTAGCCACGCTCCTCGCTCTTATCACCTCTTATCAGGACAATTATTTGTGCCTCCTTTTCCCTTCCAAGCCTTTCATCAGATTTCGTGGAAAAGGCTGTTTACTCTTTATTATCGACATTAGTATCGCTGACTCTGCAGTTCGATATTTCCTGAATTTTGTTTTGATAATTGAATTTTATTTATTATTTTTTTGAATACTTCTTAATCTGCCTTTTGGTCCGCTGTGCTGTTAATTAACGCTGATAAGCAATCATTTTTTTTAATATGAACAATTAAGAAATCCTAGGACCTATTAGGTTCATTGTAGTATATTAGTGTGTGTCTACTCTCTCTCTCGCACGCTTTCTTTTTCGTAACCTTTCTTTCCTGTCGAAAATTTCCCTTCGTTATTTTATTTTAGCTATCTTTAAAATATTTCTTAGAATCAGAATGTATTACGTAAGGACGTAAAAAGGAGGAAGAAAGTTAATTTAGAAGACGTAGTTATTTCCAGATAGCACTAAAACATATCTATTATAAATTTGCAGTCCTATTAAACTAGTGTTGCCAAAAATCGGTCTTGGTCTTGTAATTGACCAAGATTGCCTAACTGTTGCAAGACCAAGACAAGGACTGGTAAAAAAAAAAAACGATTTTTTGAATAAAAATTAAAGTTACTAATACTTAACAATCTTAGTTACTAAACGTAAATAATTGGTATAACTTATTTACTTTTGCATTTAACTCCTATAATTTTTCATTCAGGCTTAGTTAGGTTTCTCCTATCTAAAAAAATACAGTATTATATCTACATTAATATTGCGCAAGACCAAGACCATGACCAAGACTGAGTTTGTAAGACCAAGACTCTCGGTCTCGCATTTGGGCAACACTATATTAAACAAACAAGGCATGCCTAGATCTCTCGCCAAGGCTCTTAGTAAGGGCTGCAGTCACCTGAACAAAGTAACCAAATTTTCATAAGAAACGGTACTTCACAATAGAGATAATCACTTTATTTTCATAAAAGGGGGTTGCCCAATTATATTGGGTTGCAACAGGCAATTTTTAAAACTAATATACGATATCATCAATATATATGAGCATAGTACGCAATATTTTTTTTATATTTTTATTTTTTGACGTCTTTCATTAATTTATTAACATTCCATTTCGCTTTCTTTCTCTTCTCTTCACTTATTCATTTATCTTATTCATCTTTAAATTTTCTCCTATCTCTTCCTTGCCTAATTACATACTAAATAAATACATAAAATACAGTAGACGTATTCAATAAATAATATAAAATGTTGTAATATATCTAATATCTAAAACTCTATCAAGTTGACAGAAAATCCAAGAAAACCGGCGATGATAACCACAGAATTTTGCCCTTTGAACCAAAATAAAAAAAATAAACAAGGGAAAGTTATTAGAAAATAGTTAAAAAACAATCACAAATATATTTTGAAAACACTGACCTATATCTCTTAGATTCTTCACCTACCATCCATCAATTTCAATAAATTTTTTTGAGGGAGTAAACATCCGAATAACATGCTCCTTGTCACCTACTGGCACAATAGTACAAAGAAACAACTCGGCAAACTCCTGGAAATGATCAGCTACAAATTTTTCCTCGAAGTTCATTGCCTAGAAATAGAAGTTTTAACAGGATCCTTTAACAATTTTAGCGTTTAATTTAAGAAAAGGTGGCATTGATAATGTATCCCAGGATCTAGTTTGAAAAGAATGATCAAGATCACGACTTCAAAATACAGGCAGAGGAAGGGAAATTTATACGAAATTCGCATCGTACGTAAAAGAAAAAATATAAAGACGAATTAGGCTGTGGTTCGGGGGGAAGTAGGGGAACCATCCCTCTTTCAACAAGTAATTTCTTGCAAAGGTTCGGTGTTGAAAGGGAGCAAATGCTGACATGGCAGAATCTATTACTTAAGGCTCGTTGGAAATCCTCCATCACCACATATATTAATCTTAGTCTACGTTTACTGGATTCTGTTCACTGTTTGTAAAATGTTTGCTTTATATTTCAACGATCCCACGTAACTCTCAGTTGTTTTAGTTTTAAATAATATCTATCCTCATTACAGACTGAAACAACAAGAAACCGCTCGACGTTTCCGACTACTTCAGCACTTACTTGACAAACGCTCTAACCTTGCAATTAATTACAAAAGACTTGCAATTAAATACATAATCGTAATAAGACCTATTCGGACTTACGGAGTTGAGCTATGGGGCTCCACTAAACCATCGAATTCCTCTCGTATCCAATCTTTACAATCCAAAATCCTTCGTAAAATCCTTAATGCTCCTTAATTTGTAACAAATAAAACAAGCCATAAAGACCTGAATGTTCTATATTTTTCCGATTTGGCCCAATCCAGATACCTATCCTTCCATAATAAACTTTAAAACCATTCTAATTCTCACTTTTCTAACTTTGCTTCCTCCTCAATCCCTGATAATGCTCCTAGGCGTCTGAAAAGAAGATGGCCTCGTGATCTCCTTATTTAGATATTTTATTAGAATGCTACCAATGGGTAGATTCTCTACAAGCCTTGTCATGACATGTATTTATCTGTACCACATTTGCTGAATGCATATTAAATGCACAGTTGTAAATTTCATAAATAATAATAATTAAAAAAATAAATAATATCTGTTGACTGTTGATTATGCTGTATGATTTTTTTATTCGTGACATTTACAACTGTATTACAATATAAATACATCAAGTAAATATGTACACAGGGATATAATCACATGACAACGCTTGTTGAGAAACTACCCACTTGCAGTACTCTAATGATATATCTAAATAAGGAGATCACGAGGCCATCTTCTTTTCAGACGCCTCGGAGGGTGTTATTTAACAACTCAACAAAGTTGAGCAGTAGTGTAATATTATTATAGTTCTCTCTTACGTCTATATTTTTATCACCATTGCTCATCACAATAATGGTTAGTTTCTTCAGTAAGGCATTTTTTCATTTGCTGTTTACATTAAAGGAATTGCTTTCAAAAATTTTGACAATTATTTATTTCTTTTCCTAAAAATATTTTCAATGATTATGGAGCTTTATCTTCGTATTAAACAATTTAAAAACGAATAAAAAGAAAAATAGTTTCTTCGATAGCATAATGATGACTTGAGATAGGAATTTAATGGTACATCGTTAAAACTAAAATATTTAGCAATAAAATTTCTTAAAATATGCAATAAAATGTGCCGCAAGAGGCATTAAAACAAGCCTTAAAAAATCACCGAGTTTGAGATAGTTTTTTATTTATTAAGAAAACAAAACATAGAATCAAATACGAATTAATTGATAAATAATTCCTTTATAAGGTTTTATAGGTCAAAAGAATAACATAGGAGATACAAAATTGTTTTTGTATATCAAACAAATATAAATATTGAGTTACACAATAAAAACAAATAAAAATCGAATTACAATAACTTGTTTTGTTTAGTATAAATCTATAGCTGTAAAATATATTTATAAACCATTGTTATTTTTTAACATTATAATGTGAGAAATGGTTTTTCATAAAATAAATAGCTTTTGGTTATACATAAAAGAAACAAATAATAGATATAATACTAACTTATCGAACAGTATGACCAAAAAAAGTTACAAAGTATCAGGAACTTGCCTTGGAGTCAAAAACATTATAACAACTACAATAAGTTATAAAGACGCCAATAAATCATTTCTTCAAATGTAATGATATTGAAGAATACAAGAGGAGGTACTGAATATTTTGGCCTTGACCTAGGATACTAAAAGGAAATCTGTTGGATATACGCAGGATTCTAAAAAAAATCTTTTATAATCCTTTGATTTTTTTTCCGGGACGTAGATACTATACTAGAAATCAGGGAGGAAGAAACACAAAATTATTTTTTAATTTGGAGATTTTTTAAATAACTGATTATTCCCAATTTTTTTATTAGATTAATTTTATCTTTTACCTCTGAGATTAAAAATTATCTTGTAACATACAAAATTTCAGATGGATTCACAGTAATTTAGATTATGTGCAAGAAATTAACCAAGAGAATTCATTATTACTCTAATGTTGATGAGAAAAATTTGTATAATGTTGAAGTATTCATAACATACAATTGTGCCCATGGTATAAAAAAACTGGACCGATTTACACGTTTTTTTTTTCAACGTGATCTGTGTTGTCTCGAGATGATCTTAAGCTGTTAAAATCAATAGAAAGAAAGAAAAAAATATTCTCACCGTGTTTAGAGAATTTTGCTAGAAGGTATTCTTAATGATGTTTAATTATTACATTGTTGTTAAAATCTCATTTGTTCGTTATTAAAAAAGCCAATGAAAAAATAAACGGTTGGTTAGATATGATGATTCATATCATGTCATCTGTAGATACCAGAGGTTGAAATAGATAATTTTTTTTTTTCACTGAATTATGTAATAATTATTATATTTGATTTTTATTTAATTTAAAAATCGTGCCTAATTTATAAATAAATAAAAATTTAAATAGATCTTTTAGTATTATTTGATTAAACATAATGGTCACTCACTGAGTGGTACGGATTTACATAAATAATAATGAGTAAATTTTGATTAAAAGAAAAAATTGATCAGAAAATAAAAATAACATTTTACACACAAATTAAATAAAATATTAATTTGTATGTTTACGTTATTAATTTACGATTTTTTCTAATATTATATTTCTGAAATCGCTTTAATTTTGTACCTGCACTAGTCGTATATATTTATATTTTTTTATAAGCCAAAATTCCTAATAAATTTCGGAAATAACTATGTTCTGTTCGTAATTGTTGACAACTAAATTCTCCACCTACAACTCCAGATTCAAAATATATCATAGATATTATGAATGGATGAATGAAAAAATAATTTTATTCTGGGACTACAGTTCCCTAAGAATAATAACAGTGTTATAAATTTATGGATATTAGTCTGGCTTAAAATAATAAAAAAATACAAACTAATTAACTGCTTATTGTTATTGCAATTGTGCAGCAGATTGAAATTAAACAGTATACAGATACAAGTAATTTTACATGTTAGGGGAAGTTTGAAATGTGGAGTAGGTGGTGGAACAGGAGTTGTTTGATGGAATTTGTGGACGAAGATTGACGTATGGAGGTAGAAAGAGAGTTCCAAAAGAAGGTAGCACGAATGATAGTTTTATGGGAATATCCCCTCCCAAATCTATAGATTGAGGCCTATTATTAAGAGAATGGATAGAGAGTAAGTAGTTCCAGGATGTAGGGAGGGTTTTTGGTTCTGAGGACTTGGAAAAGAAAAACACCAAGAAGAAATTGTCGCCGAGAAGTTGGATAAAGCCACTTCAACTCGGTGTTTCAGAATGAAACTTGTGAACGCCTGGGGAGCCTGAAGATATATCTTATTAAACAGTTCATGAGAAAAAAAAAGTTCATGAGATATTAGAACAATTATATTTCTGATTTTAAAAAATATTACTCAAGAATTATTATTATTGTTAATTGTAAAAAAAATGCTCAAATATAAGATTCAGGATATGGTTTTTTATCACTTATGATTAAAAATATAAATTGCTCTTCATAAAAACCATCAAATAATTTTTAAAATTCCAGTTGAAAATTTTGATCAGTTTTTATTTTTTTGATGATCGATTTCAAACCCTGGTAGATACTATTAACATCCTATTAATAGTTTTCTTCAAATATTGGTTCAGAAAATACAGTGTTCTTTCTTTATTTTTTTTAAAATTATTTCGTGACAGACTCATTCAGTCATTGCATTAAAAAGTATGCTGATAACGTTAATTAAACTCATCGATTTTACCGAAATAGGTCGAGTGCTAAAGAATAAATTGAGACAATACAAATTGCCGGTGGATTAGAAAGTGGGTACCGCAATAGTCTCTCACCTTTCGTTGCGGTCACCGCGTAACGGTCTTCATTGTGTCTTCGCCGATGTGGCTTGGTGCTAGGAGTAACAGTCCCAGATCTAGATCAGTCATCGAACCGGGTGCTTCCTATTTGCATATATATATATATATATGCCTGGGAAGAAATCAATATTTTTTTAGTCTACTATTTGTCATAATTCATCTACTACATTTATGAAACCAATCATTTGATAAAAAAGATAATAAAAACCAGAAAATAAAATTGTCTCCAAGAAGGTTTAGAATAAAATATATTTCAATAAAAATAGATCAAACGTATTCCATAGATTAAACACGAATTGTTATATCCTCTGCGCTAATTAATGCTTTATTGACGATTTTATAGAACAAATTGTATTCAACTGGTTACTCTTTCGTCTACGAGGATAGTAGTTCTGAATAACTATCTAGTATTATTAACATAGAATTAAGAATACTATTATATGTATGCTCCAAGACTGATTAACAGATAAGGATAGATTTATTAGTCTTGAACATAGGTCACATCCTGACTGTGCAAAGACCTCTCTAAGTTATATTCCCATAATAGATAGAGTTATCAAATTATTGAAGGAAGTTAGTCAACTGTTCTACATCTTAGGTGATAAATAGTCAGGACGCAGTCATTTTTTATTGTCAAGATTGTCAGTCAAGATTTTTATTGTTGTTGCCGACGTTTCAATCATGTGGATCATCATAAGCACATGTTTATAGTACTGAAGGTGTTCAAGTACTGAAGTTTATTACTTGATTTGAAGTTCATTAATGGAAACATAGAGTTATTAATGATTTTTTTTTAAAACTATTTATTCAAGATATTCACAAATATATTACAATATAAATGCCTGAAGTAAATGTGTACATAGGAATATAATCACATGAAAACGTTTGTTGAGAAACTACTCACTGGTAGCACTCTAGTAATATGTCTATATAAGGAGATCACGAGGTCATCTTCTTTTCAGACTCCTCGTAGGATTAAAGATTTAATGTACTTTATATAAAGTATTTAATTAAATTTATATGATAATTTTTTCTTTCTTTTCAGCTTCTACCCTAAATGATCATTGGCGTTTAGCAATAATTTAGATCGTCGTTGTACTTCGTAATATTAAAAAAAAAATTAAAGAGTATAGTCTCGTTCTTTACAATCCTGCTGAATTTCTTTTATGGATTCTCACAACCATTACGGTAGGAGGACCGTGGTACTGAAGTCCTCCCCTCCCCCAAGTTGGAATTTTGGAATTTTTTTTTTCCATTTGTCCGTATTTGTATGTGTGATTAAAACGTGTGTTTAAGTCGAATACTTAAACACTCCCATTATATTCTCTTTATAAATTATAATGCCTGTAATTTACCAAATATAAGCAAGTATCAAGAAGAAATATCACAAATACATATATATCTAAGATCATTAGCGGATCCAGGATTTAATTTTGGGGGGAGGCTTCATATATATAAAACGATATTTACTTCGAAAAAAAAAGAAAGATAATAACTACCTATTTGAAATGGTGTTTAGATGACTCTTTAAGTCCTATTAAATGTAATTACACGAGCAATAATACTTTAAGAGATATTTTTAAAATATTTTTTCCATAAAATACGGTTAAATTTTACCCCCCGTATATCCGCCTGTGTCTAACATCATTGTTACTGTAATTACAATATTCTTATTGTTCTGCCAGAGTAATTTCAGTTAAAACAAAAAAAAAATTAAAAAATAGCGACCCCCTCCCCCAAATGAAATCCTGTATCTGCTAATGCTGATAAATCTCTCCCTGTCTCTCTCTCTCTCTCAATATATATATATATATATATATATATATATATATATATTTTTTTTTTTTTTTTTTATGCATGTGTTTTAGCTTAGTTTTAATTTTCTTATTTTTATGTTATTTTATTTTATTTATTGTATATACTTTTTGATTATTATTTATTGTTATTTTGCTTCTATTTAATTTATATTTTTTGTACATATAGTGTGAATGTTATCCTACTACATCACTATAACTAGTGTCCATGTGACAGATTGTTGTAATACTCAATGAAAAACTACTTATAAAAATAAAAAAAAAATAATATATTTCAAATTTGAAACAATCCTCCGGTAGATTTTCCCAGCAAAATATAATATATATATATATATATTTTTTATGGTTAATTAGATAGTATAATTTAAGAGTTTAAATTGAATGATTATTATTGATATAATTTTTATTATGATTTATATAATATTTATAGATATAATTTATTTATATAATTATTATCGATATAATTTTTACCAAGTGGCGCTAATGAAAAAGACGCTTATGGCTATTTCATTGGGATTGATCTAGATAGACAACTTCTAAGCACTTTTGCTGAAGTTCCTCCGATAAGCTCTATCGCATCGGTACTTATCCATCATTGGCAGTATCTCGATGGAACTGCTCATTAATCGGCTGGATACTTCGACCAGATACGACTGCTCCAATAAAGAGGCTAGACGATTCGGCGGTGGTGGGGAGCACGTGGCTAATATTTCCATTGACCTCGCTGTTTCCACGTGTCACCGGCTTCAAGGCCACCTCACCTCGGGCTTTGACTCCGTCCCTTCCGTCCTCTTTAAGGCTCCCGAAATAGCAATGCTTTGCTCATCGAAAGGCACTTAGCGGGGAGGGACTTCATTCCGATCTCTGATGAAAGGAAAAAAAAAATCTCTTTTCTCAAGATATTTTCAACTGATAACGAATCACTTCGTTCCCAATTAAAGCCTAAATGTATGATTGATGTTTTTCATCATTCTTTCCCTCTACAGGCTCCAACTTCTTGCCAATATATTTTTTGTACCCTTATTTTGATCCTTTAAAAATATGCTGATAAATAATCATTACTTGAAAATAATTATAACGTTATACCCAGGGATAGTGTATGCCTCCTTTCCAAGAATTTTATGACTCTCTTCTTCTTCAAAGCTGTGAAAGCGAGAGTATAATTAGAAAAATTGTAGTTCATTGACGGACTTGTTGTGGTCTGCACCTTGTTTTTTGGTTCGAAAATTCCTCCAAATGAACTTACTGAAGTTTCCTCACAAAATTATTGTTCTCTAAAAAAATCAAACATCAGACACTGCTTGTGTCATGAAAACCTCTTCTGAACACTTGAATATACCGAAAAAAAACTGCTGTTGTTTTTTACTCAATTCAAATACACATGCTTATTAACATACACTTGCGCAGATTACCGATTGATATAGCTATTAGTTGCCACCAATAGTGGATCCAGAATTTAATTTGGTGGGGGATAGAAGCTTCTGTTGATAGAGAGAGATATCTCAGACCAATGTGATGAGAATTTCTTTTTCTATAAAACTTTTAAAATCACTGAATAAAATTGGACTCCTCATGCCATTTGGAGCAGCCTGAGTATGATTGGAGAATAAGTTGATGGATCAATATTTAATTTTTAGAATAGAATAGAATAGAAAATTGAACTTTATTCTGGGACTAAGTCCCCTTAGAATAACAATGATGAATTAATACAAAAGAAAATACAAATATGGCCAAAAACTAGCTTACAAAATTCTTACATTATTTAAAAATAGTATGTAATCACTAAAAAATAAAGACAAAAAAAAATTAAATGAATATAAGATCTTAAAAATTGATTATTATTGTGATGAAAAAAAAAAAAGAGAAATTATATATTTATATATACAGAACCACGCAATTTATAAACAATTCGCTAAGTAATAAAAAAAATACTTAATACAAAATGTAATAATATCTACTATGATTTATATAATAATATGCAATCACTAAGAGAAATATAAAAAAACTCAGGATTACTTGTAGTGTAATGGAAAAAATAGAACTATGTATACACACATACTCATATTGGCACACTACAGAAAGTATAACCTGGATAAATAAAAATAGATAAATAATACAATAATATAATAAGATAACAAAAGTAATAACAGAAAGGCATTGGTTTAGATGTTAAAATATATAAAGTTGTCTAAATTAATAAACTAGCACTATAAAATAATATGTTATCAGTTAACCCCAAAAATCTTCTCAAGTGTGATTATAGTTGAGATGGATTATATATATATATATATATATATATATATATATATATATATATTTTTTTTTTTTTTTTTTTTTCCTATTCAACTTGAACGTCTCCCCTCATGAATCCGCCAGTGGACGTGACATTGAATATTATGGAGAATCAATTAAGAAATGAGGTTAGGAAATTTTGGGATGTATCTACTACAGTTTAAGTCGGAATATTAGACAAAATTATGATGATATTATCAGATTAGTAATTAATATATATACATAGTATTGAAAAATTTGAGAGAATAATCCTGCGCACGATAACCCTGTGTGATCTGAGATCAGAGTACTAACACTTGGTTAAGAAAGATCAATAAAGAACTGCTTACAGAAACTGCTCAATTAATATCCTATGATATGAAGGCACAGAGGTTAAGATTGGCGGAGCATGTAGCTCGTATCAATCCATCTGGAAGTCTCTACGAAGTAACAATGATTGCCTCAATGGAAGGCAAGAGAGGTACATTATGACGGTATTTTGAACTTCTGAAAGGATTATGAATTACGACGGGATTATGAATTTTATAATTAAATAGTTTCAACAAAGGATATCAGGAAAATATGGAACACCGCAGCAAATGTAATTATATATGAACTACGATTTTTTTAATTTAACTTTTTTCTGCACTGTTTTTAAGAAGAGGAGAGCAATAAAATATCTTGGAGGGGGGTGGGAGAGGTGGAGGGGAGGATGGACACTCCTGGTGCTACTATAACATATCTCAATTGTTTATGTATATGTTGGTTTCTTTACTTTTAAGTAATTTGTTCCTAGCAGTTTCTATTTGGTACATAACTAAGTATGATTATATTAAGACCATTCTATGAGATGGAAAATAACTCTAATAAATTAATAAATAAATAAATAAATAAATATATATATATATATATATATATATATATATATATATATATATATATATATCATATTTGTTTATTTCCTATGTTAAAGCATTATATTTTCGCTGAATTTCACAATCTTGACATTTCAAGTTTTTTTCCTTTACCCTTCAATGGAAATTCGAATCCTTCTTTCGAAACAACTACAGATAGCGTTTCGTTTGATAATTGCAACATTTTTAAATGATAATGAAAATTAAAATATCTTAGGTTTATGGAAAAAATACTATTTGTATTTTTTACAACTACATTATCAAAACAAAACTGTTTAGGATATAAGACCAATGAATAATATGCAAGGCTCTCTTTAAGATCCAGATAGCAAATGCCTGGAAGGGCTAGCCAAAACCAACACCTTATTTGGCTAAACCTTTTCGCCGGTTTATAAAAAAGAAGTGAATGGTAATCTTCATTTACAAGAATTAATGTTGTTTTAATTAGTAGATTAAGGATGTTTGTTTTTTAAAATGTGTTTCTTAATGGAAACCATAGTGCTTTTTTTTTGTTTTGTTTCTAATGAGAGTCTTACCGAAGCATGACTAAAGAGCTTTTTATACTCCAAGTGAATTTCCTCGAAATGAGGAAAAGCTTTTGCAAATTCCCCTCCGTTCAGTTTTGATAAGATTGTGAACGAAACAAGAATAGCATCACATACACGTGTATACCATCGATTGCTTCTGAAAAAATGATAACTAAGAGAGTTTTTCATGTTATTGAGCTTCAACATATTAAAATGATTTGTTAAAATAATTATTTACTTACTGAATCAAAATAACCATTCCTATTTCAAAGAAATTAACTTGACAATTAATACCATAGAATGGTAGTAATTAATAATATAGAATCAATAAGATCAATAGGTATTCCCTTTAAAGAATATTATCATTTTTCATTGTTTTTTTCCTCGTTAAGCCTGTTGACTTAGGTACATTATCTAGGGACATTGCTCCATAGATAAAATTTACTTTTAACGAAAGTAGATTTTGTCATTGTTACAACTACAATATTTAAAGAGAACTATTAAGCAAACAAAAACTGCTAAGTTCCGTTAAAAAAAAGTCACAAATTATTTGTGTTACGCCACTTTTAGGAAAACCTCCTAGTTTAATAAGCTTTAAGTAAATATTAATTAAATTGAGATTTATCAGGAAAATTTTTGAGATTCACAAAAATGCTAAGTAAAACTAAATAAATTATATTTATTTTTACTTTGTATTTTGACTGATTTCTCTGCAATATATATATTGACAATAATATATATATATATATTATATATATATATATATATATATATATATATATATATATATATATATCATTTTATTGAACCTTTTACAATAATTATGTTAATTATCACTCACAATTTTTATATAAACTGCAGAATTTTCGGTGAGGGGGAGAACGTCCTTCCCAACCAGAGTGGAAAGTCTAGGACTATGGTCTCAATATGGATTACATTAACCGTTGTATACCGCGATAAATTTAATATTTTTTAAATATTAAATGTTATATTTTCCCTACTTCCTATTATTATCTTCTAATCTATGGTCGATTTAATGGTTACAATAGTTGTAGATTTATTTACATTTTTATCTACCATGTTTTAAAATTTTTTAAATGAAATTTATCACAAACAAAAGAACTAACTTCTGAAAGGCTATTCAGTGTCATTCCAATATAGAGTACCTACTATGATTGCATAAACAAAATACAAAATTCTAAAAAAAATTGTTATCGCGCATGGTATATTTCAAATCATAATCTATATAACGGTAAACGGTTATCATCTATAATTTCAACGGTAAAATCTTACAAACACCGCAAATACATTACATTTCATTTTTCGAACCAAAATCACCCCAATCGACTCTTTCTGTCAATTTTCCCCTCTCTGTCACCCTGGTATACGCAGATAAAGAAGAAAATGGCTCAGAGATCTGTGGTTTCAAAAATAATTAAATCTGATTCATTGTCAAGCAAAATCGAAGAAATTAAACCGTTACATCAATTTTCTTAGATCTCCAACTGCGGAATTGCAAATGACGTAAAAGAATAAAATAAGAACTTCATAAGATTGAGATTAAAAACCTTTTATTTTAGTTCCCGGGTCAGTTTTGTTCCGTATCGATTTAAAATTTTTTCCACATTGTATCTGACATTGAGTGATGATTTCAGCCAGCTGGCCAGGGAATAATGCTGAGGTCCGGTTCACGTAAAAGCAATATAAAAATATCTTCTGACTGTAATTATTTCAAGCAAATTATAAGTCGAACTTTGCCGATCTTAGCTTTTGGTTTATATAGCTCTCCGAACTACTCGTATGTGAGATCTAGTATAAATCTCCCCTCCTCACATCTCTATAAATTGCATATCGTTGTGTTCCTTGTAACTATTTATTAGAAAAAAGCCAATGTTCCCATAAAAAAAAGTGAACGCACTACTCCAAAATGGCGTCCAAAGATGGCGGATTGACGACTTTGACTTAGTTAGTTTTTTGGTCACTGAGAATCTTAATTTCCTCATGGTTGGTCTTTTATAAAAGCTGAATAGTCTGAGAATAATAAAACATGAGCAAATGTTACAAAATAATTAGCTTAGGCAATAAAAACACCAAACAAGTAAAAAATCTTAACAAAAAAATTTTCAAGTTGAAAATAAAGCGTTATTTGTAATTAAACTGCCAACAATAACACTAAATGAGCTGAAATAAAACATCTAGTGAATATATTTCTCTTTCTAAAACACTGATTACTTTTTAAAATATTGAACCAGTTCCGTAGAAAATGCAGTTATGCGGGAGAAAAGCGGTGCCGGCGTAGGTGCCTACAAGCCACTACCACACCATTTTGTAGACATAAATGGCTTAGTTATAGTGATATAATAAAGTTCTTGGTACATTATATTGGTTTTATTAACGAACAAATATTAATGGAATCATTTAATTGTAAAAAAAAATTAAACAATTTTTTAAAAATTTATTTTTTTATTTAACTTACGTTATTCTATACGGAGGTCGTTTAAGTAGACATCTATTGTAAAAATGATATAATTATAATAATAAAACTTAATTGAAAAATACTTTGCTGAATATCTTGAATTGATTTAACGTTTGCAATTTAACACTTTGTTTTGTATATTTACTGATTCTTAGAGGTAACTTAATTGTATATACTTTCCAGGAAATGAGTCATATTATTGCCTGTTTTATGAACTAAAATAATATATACCTAATCTGAGAGACCAAGTTCCCAATTTTTGTGTTGTTAAAAGGATATTTTCGCGAAACTGTGTTGATCATAGTACTGTACTGATATAATTATATAGCCATATTGTTCTATAAAACACGAGAATGAAAAGGGCGTAGGAACTCGCTGCGATGAAGACAGAACGATTATTTGGTATGTAAAAACCCTAGAATAGATATGTTAAGGGAAAAAAAAACACAATAACGTTTCTATGTATCCATCCATAATACCTTCTAAGAAATTATTTGCTCTAATTTTTTCTCCTCTCAAAGCAGTGCAACCTAGCTAGAGGTATAAAAATTGTAGATCATATGCAATTATACTTGCTGCGTGTATATTTCATGTCTTCCTCTTGTCCCCTTGTTTGAAATTCCTTCAACTAGAAACCCCGATAATACATCGTTTCCTCGAAAAATTCATAGCCCCGTAAAAATGCACCCCCTCAAAAGATCTGATGGCGCAACTTCCGCCATGCAACCCCCTATTTCTCTCCCCCTCCCCCTCCCGAAAATCATAAATGCTTGCCAAAGTTTGCCAAATGGTCTAGTGCTGGCGAAATGTGTACCCCCACCCCCTCACCACGGGCTTACCTCAATATCTCAGTACCAACCGTGCGCTCTGTAGGACAGGTGGGCATTAGCATACGACCTTCCAATAGTTATAATTAATTGTTTCAAAATTAATTAACTCTATTCATCAGCTGTAATGTTAATTTATTCAAATTAACGTCAGTGTCTTCTAATTAATACTAATAAATACTTATTTATTTATTTTGTGGCTGCATCTCGGAGGATTCTGTGTCCGAAAGTATTTTGAACACACAATAATTCAGTAAAATAATTCACAGAGAAATTTGTCGTAGGTAAGTAAATAATAACAAAAATAATTGAATGAAATGTCATTAATAAAATTATGGATCAAAGAAATAATTTTATTCTATATTGTTCATTATTTTACAAAATTTAGTTCAATTTTATTCGATAATAATGAAAATGATTGGTACAGAACTTACTGTATATATATATATATATATATATATATATATATATATATATATATATATATATATATATTCACAATATTTCTCCAATTCTTCTTCGGTGCATACTATTTATTTTCAAGTTTATTTATTTTCAGCCATTTTACACCAATTTTCAAAATTTTTTGTCAACTTAATGATTACACATCTGATTACGACGTTTCTGCTCGTTCAGCCATTTTCAAGTCTAAAAAATTTTGAAAGTAATATGAATAAACGTAGAATAAAAGAAGCAATATACATAGCTATAAATTTAAAAAACTCTGTAAATAATCATACACATGTGGATAATATGAATACCTTTTACTCGAGTTCGATTGTAAATATCAAAATATGAAATGAATTAGCTAATTGTGCTTAAAATAAATCCATATATAATATTGGGAAACATCATTGTATATGTTTAAAATAAATAGTCTTCCCCTACTCCCTTAAGAATAACCAGTCACGAAACTGAAATGAGGCTGATGAGATGTTGGTGACACAACATGAGGTAATTTTAACTTATTTGAATCGTTTAATAATAAATAATTGAGTAATAATAATGTTATAAAATAATTAAAGGTGGGCGTGACAAAAATAATTTTTTTTTACATGAGTAGACGCATGCAATTCGCATAAGTTGAAAAGGACAGGTACATGATCGGTATTTTAGGAATATAAAATGAATCTCTATATGTTGAAGTATGTAATGTTTTAAATATGACTGTAAATTGTAAAAAAAATTTAGACTTGAAAATGGCCCAACGAACCGAAACGTCGTAATCAGATGTGTAATCATTAAGTTGACAAAAAATTTTGAAATTGATGTAAAATGGCTGAAAATAAATAAACTTGAAAATAAATCGTATGCACCGAAGAAGAATTGGAGAAATATTGTGAATATATATATATATATATATATATATATATATATATATATATATATATATATATATATATATATATATTAATTCGGACCTGTCACAAAATTATTGATAGTAAGAAAATATTTTTATTTCTATTAATATTTTTTATCAAATAAAAATAAAAATGCATTTAAAAGGATGGATTAGGTAAGTGGTGTACCCTCCCAAGTTTGCGCCATATCATGAATGCAATTGTTTCACAAACATGCTCCTTCCGTCACTTATGCATTTTTGTTTGTTAAAATATATATACATACAGCATGAATAGAAATATTACAAATATCTTTATCTACAATTTGTAAAATACAATCAACGTTTGTTATTTCCATCTCTCCTTCATAGATAACTTCATAACTTTCTCTCAGAGATGTAATATTTTCCTTAAATTGACATCTTGTTGAACCTCACTTCCTGGAAAAGAAATTAATGCCTGGAAAAGACAATATAAAATTGTTTACTGAAATAAAAGCTTTCATTCAAATTTAAGTTAAAAAACAAATTGGTTTAAACACTAGATTTAGAAGTAATTAATCTTACTTAGAAGTTATATTATAAATTCATAATTATCTTAAAGTTATTTTATTTAG